TAGCTTGCCTCCACCAGTGTATGAATGTGAGAGTGAATGAATAATGGCATTGTAAAGCGCTTTGGGTGCCTTGAAAAGCACTATATAAATTCATTATTATTATTATTATTATATAAAGAGGAATTACCATAGGTGGATCTAACAGATGATCAGTGCAAACAGGATCCATAAATGCTATGAATATGTGCATGTCACAGTGGGTTTTTTTTTTAGTTTTTCAATACATGTGCAAGATTTTCAAGCAAGCTTTTTCACTTTGTCATTATGGGGTATTGCAAGTAGAATTTTGAAGTGAAAAGAATTGAATTCATTTTTTGAAGAAGGCTATAATGTGACAAAATGTGGAACAGGTAAAGCGGTGTGAATACTTTCCAAATGCACTGTATTTGGTAAGATTACAACAGCACAGGGCACAAAGTGTCGTTAGTTCAGCCATTTAGTCATTTAATTTAGAGCAATTTAGCATCACCGTTCAGTTCATAGGCCACTCGGAGGGAGGGAGAGCAGCAGGAAGACCACTGAGCAGAGTGGGCAACCATGTCAGCAGATATGAAACTGAAAATGAAATATGGGGATGACAGGGAAGTGGGTTGTAAAGTGCCTTAGAAATGGATAGGCTAAAGCAGCTGAAACAGAGTGTAGCTGGATGTGTAAAAGTATATCAGGTGACTGATATACTGTTGTGTCACTGAGATGAGCTAATCGGCCAGGACAGGCACAATGCTTATGATGATGACAAACACAGAGCAGGAAGAAGGAAAGATTAAAGACCATTACAGAAATTCATTGGAGTAAAATCCTTCATCCCCTCCCCTTCCTACTCATGTTTGATGTTTACATATAGAAAATCAACAAAAAGCACGTCGTTAACACAAACAAATGAGACAAGCAGACTGTCTGCAACTCAGAGCTCAACTCAGTAGTCCAGTATTATCAATGGACCGTGGTACCTCCTTAGAGAAAGTGTCAGCGCGTCATGAATTTTGCCCAATTTTTGTTAGTTCCTGTTTGTGTGAGTATGTGGGGCTTTTCTTATCTGGTGATGAAACATTTTACTCGGAGTCCCGGCATACTGCATCTGAAGTATTATCTGATACTTTTAAGGTCGTCTGGGTATGTAACACAGCCCTGTGTTTCCTGATATCCTATACCACTGCTGGATCCTGCCAGATATCAAGTGTCTCATTTCAGCCTGAGAGCCACACACTGACACACAAACACATGCAGAGAACAAAGAGGTGACATTGTACAGTTTGCCCATCCTGTATGGGAATACAGATGCTACGTCTGTCCACCCCAGCTTTTCCTCTATTGTCACAAGCAGACATATGCTTATTCAAACTTCTGCTTCAACATCCAGAACGACCTTCAGACTCCTTTTAAAAGTAAGACTTCAAGGAGGGGGAAAAAACAGCAGAAAATGACCTCTGGAGAGTTGTGGATCCATCACAAGCAGCATCCGTTCGTTGTTTTAGAAGCAACACAATTTTAACTGTCCTTTTATTTCTGGCCATTTGATTAGGTGGTAGAGTAAGTTGTCTACTAATCAAAAATTCAATGGATCGATCCCCCGCTTCTCCAGTTTATCTTGGGCAAGATACTGTACCCCAATGCATCCACATCAATTGCCTCAGTCAAGATCAAGGTTCCGATGCAACAAAACGAACTCTTGCTATCAAAAATGTTTGATTACAGTTCTTGCTTCAAAGGGTGTCACGACCACTTATTAGGTTTAGGGGGTGTGGATCTGGTGAACCAACAATCTAATACAGGAGATCTGGATTGGCTCTCTGTTTAAAAAGTCCTAACCTCTGATAAATGAGCTTAGATGGAGCCTGATGGGTGAGGGTTAGGGGCAGTAACAGCATTAGCTGCCTCTGGTATCCAGGTATATTGATTCCTCTAGAGTCTCTGCTGGAATCTTTAACATCTTATATTCGATCTTCTGAACTGCTCATCTTGCAGAGGACAAAGGGAAGATCCGTGTATCTCTTTTTCACCTAACTTTTATACCTGGTCAAGCTTTCTCCTCCCTCTCTTTCTGGACGTCACATCTTCTGAGATGACATCTGGCCCGATCCTTTGTGACATCCAGTCACGTTGTTAACGCCTGATCACCAGATGACCAGCGACAACTATCATCCTCTCTCCATCTATCTGACTTGTGCACATACATCATTTACTTGAATGTCTCGCTGAATCCCACCTTTCTCGACAGGTATAATCACTTTTTCCACACAGTGCCAGGTAGATTTTTTCCCCCTTAATATATTCAGTTATCATTTAAAAGTTGCATTTTGTGTTTACTCAGGTTATGTCTAAAACATTTAAGCGTGACAAGTATCCAATTTACCATTTGGTAAATGGACTGGTACCATTTTACTGGTTCTTATATATAGCACTTTTCTACTCTGAGCATTCAAAGCGCTTTATACAACTTGCCTCTATACAAGTGCTTTCTATCTAACATTCACACTCATTTATACTCCAATGGATGAAGATGGGAGAGCAACTTGGGATTAATATCTTGACCAAGGAGTTTTAGGCCGCAGACTCAAGCAGATGGGGATCGAACAACCAACCTTTTGATTAGTAGGTGACCTGCTTAGCCTCCAAACAGCTCTGGTGGCTTTGGCTCTCTGATTTTGTTCTGGCCAGATGTACCACCCTCACCTCTCCACAACTGAGATTAGCTCCCTCACAGAAAAGTGAATCAGTGCAGTACAAATGTAGTGACAAAGACATCTCACACATTCACTGCCTTTTCCTTCAGAGACCTAGTCACTTGGGTTGTGGTTGTACACGTACAAATCTCAACTGTACTTAAGTATTTATTTTTCCCTTTTGGTCCCTTCATTTTTACACAAATATCTCCATTTTCTACTCGGGGTTGTTACTCTAAGTTTAAGACATGTGAGGACATTTGAGTTATTATTTCAGGTTACTGTGCGTCTTGAAATATCAAACAAAGTTGAACCTAAATGGAGGGAACAATAATTGCTTGTGCTTATTGCACATGAACAAATAAACAGGGCAAAAACATTTAGTCGGTGCATCATTTACAGCACTGTTTTCAAGGCTTAAAGTGGGCCGGAACAATCCAGAACAGTGTGTTTTGGTCCAGATATCTGGAAGCTGCTCATAATAAGCTTTTTTTCCACAACACTGGTGGTTCTGCATCTAGTGCTACGGAAGAGAAGCATAAAACTTTTTAAAGTCGTGGATAATTTAAATTCAATGTTATTTATACAGCTCCAATTCACAACGAGAGTCACCTCAAGGAATTTCCAGTGCAATTTTTCAAATATACTCATAAGAGCAGACACACAAACTGTTTGTGTGCCATTTGTCACACAGCATGCCTGCTGTGCTTGCAAAGGACAGAAAAGAAAGTGAGATAACTTCACTCAGAGATGGAGAGACAACAGGAGATTTTATCTTCTAGGATAAAGATTGCTCAGTGGCATTAGATAGCTGACGTGTAATCTCCTTATTTAATTTAGAGCTGTTTTTAAAAAAGATATCAGATCAATAGATGATCTGTTGTTTGGTGTGATCTGTTTTCCATCCATCTTCTTTTTCCACTTACCTGGGGCTGGGTCGCAGGGGCAGCAGCCTAAGCAGAGAAGCCCAGACCATGCCTGGCCCCGACCACCTCCTCCAGCTTGTCTGGGGGAACACCAAGGCGTTCCCAGGCCAGTTGAGAGATATAATCTCTCCAGCGACTCATGGGTCTGCCCTGGGGTCTCCTGGGACATGCCCGAACCACGTCAACTGGCTCCTTTCATTGTGGAGGAGCAGCGGCTCTACTCTGAGCCCCTCCCAGATGGCTGAAGTCCTAAACCTATCTCTTTTTTTTTTACTTGTATTGTGTCTTTTACCTGTATTGCTATGTATCGCTTTTATTATTTTTTTTATCTTTTTATTTTTAAATAGTTGTACAGCACTTTGTTTGAAAGCGCTTCATAAAAAAAGTTATTATTATTATTATTATTCTGGAAAGAAGCTTATTTCCGCTGTTTGTATCCGTGATCTTGTTCTTTCGGTCACTGCCCAGAGCTCGTGACCTCGTGATAAGTGACGGTAGGGACGTAGACTGATCAGCAAGTAGAGAGCTTTGCTTTTACACTCAGCTCTCTCTTCACCATGGCGGACTGGTACAACGTCCGTATCACTGCAGCTGCAGCACCAATCCATCTGTCGATCTCCTGCTCCCTTGTCCCGTTACTTGTGAGTAAGACCATGAAATACTTAAACTCCTCAAATCAGGGCAGGAAATCGTCCCTGACCCAGAGTGGACACTCCACCCTTTTCCGGCTGAGGACCATGGCCTCAGATTTGGTGGTGCAGATTCTTATTCCCACTGCTTCACACTCGGCTGCAAACCATTCCAGTGTGAGCTGGAGGTCATCATCTGATGAAACCAAGAGAACCACATCATCTGCGAAAAGCAGAGATGAGATTCTGAGACCACCCAAATCAAAGCCTTCTGCCACTTGAGTACAGATAGAAATTCTGTCCATAAAAATAACAAACCGAATCGATGACAAAGGGCAGCCCTGGCGGAGTCCATCACCCACAGTGAACGAGTTCAACTTATTGCCAGATATGTGGACCAAGCTCTTGCAACAGTTGTCTATGGATCGAATGGCCCGTAGAAATGGGCCAGGCGCCCTTATACTCCTGAAGCACCTCCCACAGGACACCCCAAGGGACACGGTTGAATGCCTTCTCCATGTCTTCTCTGGTTGGGCAAACTCTCATGCACCCTCAAGAATCCTTGAGAGGATAAGGAGCTGGCCCAGTGTTCCACAACCAGGATGAAAACCACATTGTTCCTCCTGTATCCGAGGTTCGACTAACAGACCGTTCCCCCTTTCTTAAAGATGGGAACCACTACCCCGGTCTGCAAATCCAGAGGTACCACCCCTGATCTCCACACAACATTGCAGAGCCATGTCAATCATCCACCCAAGGTGAAGTGTTCCCTTGATCTTGCACTCATAGGGGTCTTCTGAATCACTCTTTGTCTGGTCCCTCGCCCAGGACCAATTTGCCATTGGAGACCCTATCAGGAGGCAAAAGCACCTGGACAACATAGCCCCTGGGAACCCTGGGACACACAAAACCCTCCACCACGATAAGGTAGCAATTCGCGGTTTTCATATTATGAAACATTGTGCAAAATTCAACACAGTTCTATTCCATTTTAATTGTATAGCGCTAAATTACAAGAACAATCAACTCCAGGCGCTCAAGATTGTAGAGACCTGACGATAATAAACTGGCATACTGCCTTTTTGTTATTCACATGTTCCATGACAGTTGTAGGCAGCTGAGTGCAGACTACACTGCTTATCTCACCACACAGTGACGTTTACAGCCATGCCCTATGATGGAGTGGTGGTCAGTGTCAGGTTACACCAAGGGCAGCAGGCAGCAAATTAGGTGATGATGTTTATTAGATTCACTCAATGAATTCCACCTTTAAATTAGCTTTGTACTGCTTTGGGTTGAAAATCAGCCGTAGTACCTCATGTAAGATGCTCATATCCTGCTGATTTGGCCAGAAAGAGCAGCAGGAAAGCTCCATCTGATCTCCACATATCTACAATGAAGGCAACAGAGCTAGTTTCTTTTAATTCCCTTTGTTTTTCTCTGCTTGTGTTCTACATTATGGATGTGCAAACTGTTTACATTCATTATTAATTAGAACTGAAGTAACAAGGAGTTACTTTTTACTTTTATACTTTTCAAAGCCTGTACTTTTTTTACTTTTACTGGAGTAAAAAAGTTGAATAAGTACTTTAACTTTTACCAGGGTATTTTTTTATTGGAAGTGTCTCTACTTCTATTTAAGTGACATGTGCATACCACCTCTGCTGACGAGCTGAGCAGCATACCTGAAGCAGACAGTGGCCACAACGGCGCTGTCTCAGGGATTTGGTGGCAGGAGGAATCATGTCCTGCTGCTCCTCAGTCACTCCCAGCATGAACTAATACAACAAAGAAGACAAAGTGGTCAGAAAGGAGTAACTGTCCAGCTAACAAATTATGTTAAAGTGGACACTGTCACTGTTTCCCACTTTTTCTATATGGTAGGGACATCAGATGGACTGAGGTGTCCTCACTTTTAATCTTATCCTTCCTGGTCACTCCAAGTGAAAATCTTAACATGTTCACCTCAGCCCCCTGTCTGTTAGTCAAAGCCACTGTCTCCAAGCCATACATCATAACATGTCTTACTACCATCTTGTAAAGCATCCCTTTCACACTCCTGACTTTTATCTCCACCCACTCCATTCTCTCTTTCACCTCTCTTGGGCAGCGTCTGTTGCTTTAGATGGTCTGGACCCCAACCAAGTTATACAACAGCTGAACCTTTAATTGCATCTTTGCTAGTAACTTCTGACTTGCATGAAATCCTTTTACTTCATCTAAGAGCAGAGTACCACTCTCTGTGCTGGCACATCGACAGTAACTCACTATCTCTGGTCCTTGCATGTTCACCCTTTCCACCTATCTCATTCTCATTCACACACACATATTCTGTTCTTGCTACTTTCATTCCTCTTCTCCATAGCATACCTCTACCTCTCCCTACTCTCGCTATAGATCACAATGTCAACTGCAAACATCATAGTCCACAGAGACTCCTGCCTGACCTCATCTGTTAGCCTGTCCATTACAACAAGGGCTGGATATCATCACTGATTTCTATAATCGATTTGATTCCGATTCACGAGGTCCCAATTCAATTCTATCCCTGATTCAATTTGATTAAATTCAATTTTGACTTAGTCAGGTATATTATAATTCTGATCATTTATCAGTACATATCCATATTTTATATCTAGGTATAAAAACTGACTTCGTCAGAGGTGTAAGCATCACAGCACATGCCTTTGTGTCAAAGTAACTGAGGATAAAACACAGAAAAACATGAAGGAGATTTTCCTGGCCTGAATTTTTATAGCACCACCTTAAAAATTCTCTGCAGTAGATCAAAAACAGAAGAAAACCATGAATTAACATATGAACATTACCTGATGCTGCTGAAGCGAAACAGAGCAAAGTTACAGAGGTTTTATTAGAGACACAGCGAAGCCTTTTGCAGTTTGGCCTAATTTTAAAAAGTTTACATGTCTTTGTCGTTGAACAGCAGAAATTAGGCATTTTTGAAAAACAACAAACAAACCAAAAAAAAAAAAAAACAGCAGGCGACAGCAATGCACACAACGGTAGACTGATGCGTAATAAGCAAGCGAATAATGCAGAAAACTGAGATTTGAGTTTGAGAGAAACTGTTCTTGAATTACACAGAGAAAGAGAGCGAGCGAGAGCTGTGCAGGAAGTGTGATTTTATTGTGGTGAAAGCAAAACAGCAAAAGTAGGAGGGAATTAAATATGATGTTTATCAAATGTGAACTGTAGTTTTGATCTTCTTTTGCTGCTGGTTCAGTGAATTTTGATCGGATAATGAGACAGCGTGTCTGTGTACATGCCATCGGGTGAACGATCTGCTCTTTGTGTTTACATCTTTGTGCGGATTCTGTTTACCTGCTCTCATTTGCTGTTTTAGCTGTTTGGTGGTTGTTGAAATTGTTTTGTGAGCCTTAACCTGAGATTCTGGTGTTTCTGGCAAAATAAATTTATATTTAAAAATCGATTCAGGATTTAATGAATCGATATTGTGTTATTCTAGCTAACATCGATTTGAATCGGAAAATAGATTTTTTAAAGCCACCCCTAATTTCAACTGGAAACAAGAAAGGCTTTAGAGAAGATCCTTCACCACTGTCCTCATACATGTGCTGCACCACCCTCACATACTTTTCTTTCTCGCTATTAGAGTAGGGCAGTGGTTTCAAACTCGCAGCCCATGGCCACTTGTGGCTCACGTCACCCCTACTTGCAGCCCGTATATTGAAGTTACCTTTTTGTTGGGAGGATTTGTTTGTTGTTGAGTGCAATGTTAAAATAAGTTCTTTAAAAAGCAAAAAACGATTTAATATGAAGGCATCATGAGGAGAGAGTACAAACATGTTGAGGGACTGGCTGTGTTAGTTCAGTGAGAGTTATTTGTGAAAAAAACAATTTTCACCAGCAGTCAAAAACTAACGTGTACACTTGTCTGCTTTTTTATTTTGTTAAATACGAACAAAATTATAACAGAAGTGCTGCCATGTGTCTGGCCAGAAAGAGAGTAGCAATTTCCTTCTCTGGTAGTTTAATGAAAGGCTTCGGTTAGTTAAGCATGAGGGGGGGGGGAATGTGTTAACACTGGCAGTTTTGTCTTGTTATACAATATTTGAAATTTAAAACAAACAAACAAAACACTAAGTTTTTGGAAATACTTGCTTGATTGGTTTGTTTTTGCACTACTTACACTAAAGTGGCCACTAAAGAGATGACAGTGCCAGCAGTGGCCTACAGCTCATTTAAGTTACAATATTAAATTTAGGCGACTATTGCTGTGATCTTATATAAATAAAAATGAAATGAATTAAAGGCAGAGTGTTAGTTTGCCTTAAATAAATGATTGTTATCATTATTGTTTTGGCACTGCAAGCACACGATTATCTTTTAAGATATCTTTTTTAAATCAGGTTTTTTAACCAGCAACGTAAACATTCAAGCTGCTTCAAACCATCACAACACAAAGGTAAAAAGTGAGAGTGATAACAGTAATGTACAGTAGGCTCGTGCTCACCTGCAAGTCCGTGTCATCAGACAGGATGAAACCCGGGTCCATCAGAGAGACCGCGAAGTACAGCAGCACAGACAGCAGCACCAGCAGGACGAAGAGCACGGGCTGGAAAAGCTGGCCCGTCTCCTCCTGCTTCCTCAGCTCTGTGAACACATCACTCACACACTTAACACCACCACAGCTCCCAGGGGTGTGCGAGCGATTATAGAGGCAAAGCCTATGAATGTAAAGTGATAGATTCACCTGTATCATGTAGGAAGAGGATTAACGTTATGACCCATGTCAGAATCACATGTGATGTTCTCACCAGAAACCCTGAGCCGAAAACATTTTTGAACATGTTCTTAGCATAATAGATCAGCCATCCAACATGCAAATGGAGCTGATAAACGACAACACCACTCTCTCCCCTGGGCAAGCGTCATACAAGCCGTAATGTCGTCAGAGTATTAAACGATGTGTTACGACCGAATCAAATCGTTGAATATTTCTTCTACCCAGGACATATTACATATGTCGAGTTTCGGCAGCTGGGAAGTAAACATCCCGCTCGATTCCTTCCAGTGGATTTGTTTTTATCCTTCCAACGACTCACAGTAGCAGCGATTAGTATGGCAAACAATCTAGGCCAAAATTCTCCAATTTTCTAATCCGTTTGTTTAAGAAATGACGTAAAAATCGCCGTTTGATAAGTCAGAACGCCGTAAAAACACGGCGTTGACCCGAACAGAACACAGTATTTTACGCCAGAGACTGGCGCCTTGAACGCCCCTTCTGAGTGGAGGAAAAAACGCCGTTTTTCCCGGTCTTCCAACGCCGCTTTTTACGTCATACGCAGCTGCGCAATGAGCGCTGTTTTTGCGAGTGTTGGGAAAAGCGGCGTTCATAGACCGGGAAAAAGGCGTTCTTTCCGCCACTCAGAAGGGGCGGTTCAAGGCACCACTCTCTGGCGTTCTGACTTATTAAACGGTGATTTTTTACATCATTTCTTAAACATACAGGTTAGAAGTCAGGGCAGAAAACGTACACTGGTCAGATGTGACAATTAGGGCTATTTTGCTTCCATAAATGTACCTAATCAATATTAACCCTGATTCTTTTGTCCCCATGATATAACAGAGAAAACACTATTGTTAAAAAACATTTCTTTTTATTCAATCATCTTCCGGAAGAGAGAGACCCCTGCACAGCTCAAACGCCAGTTGCAAGAGCTCTAACATTTTTAGCTCAACATGTGTCTTATATGGTGTTATTTCTGTACTTCAGACGTCACACACAATTTCAAACATTGCTTATATGGCAAAGTTTCTCTTTTCTGAGTCTTATCTTTTAATATGCCTATGCACTAAAACTTCCTGTTTTTTTAGTCTGGCTGAGCACTTAGTTTGTGAGTCAAAAGTGGCCTTGCTCTACAAGCCTTCATTATTAAAGTACATAAAACAATATAATAGGAAAATAAGGATACTAAGGATATTGATTTCATGACACTTATTAAACTGTGATTTTTACATCATCTCTTAAACATACGGGTTAGAAGTCAGGGCAGGAAACATACACTGGTCAGATGTGACAATTAGGGCTATTTTGCTTCCATAAATGTTTCTAATCATAAAAGACCTTACCAAGATGGCTCCCAAGTAGCTACAGTTATGAGGTGATGATACCTCATCTACATATGTTCACATATATATGTGAAAAGTTTGGGGGGGGGAAGTCATCTTAATGTAACTGTGGGAGGGTTATGTATTATTAATTTTAATCTGCAAGTAGTGGTATCTATTAAAGTCTGTTTTTGCCTCTCTCAGCATTTGCAGAAGAAGGGGTGATTTTGTGACCTAACAGCCAGATGTGCTCGGTAAGTAGACCGTTTCATTAATATGTTGTGTTTCTTATACATTCAAGTTAAAATACTTTATTATCTAAGTGACTGTATCAGTCAGTAAAACACCCTCCCTCATGGGTCTCTATGGGGGGGTTAAGCCAAGGTAGTAAGTAACCCAACAGGCATTCACTCATCCACACGTCTCCCCATCATTCACACACATGTATTCTGGATTATCAAAAGACAAAATAGATGAAAGTGGTTTATTTTTGATATTCTTTTATTTTTTGTGGATCAATTTCTTTTTTCTTTTAGAAATTCTCCCCCCAGGAAACAACATCACATTGTAGGTTATCAAAGTGACATTTGGATATGATCAACATTACATACAATTCAAAATTAAAAAACAAAACAAAAAAAAACATACTGAGCAGTCTTTGCCGCAGTTCTGGCACACACCTCTAAGCTGCAATCCACTGTTTTGGAATGTCAAAAAACTCTAAATGACAAAAAAAGCTATTGAGCTTGCAACTTTTTGGTCTGCTTTTCATCCAGAACAAAGGGAGTATGAATTGTCCTCCCTTTCAGCAGCTGCTCCAGACCCTGACAGAGGAGATGAGGCAGGAGTTAAGTCATGAGCAAAACTAAAAAATTATTTAGTGAGTACTTTTTGTCCACAGTGTATCTATAATACAAGAAAGAATCGCTGTCTCTAAGTCCAGGGTTCCACAATTTAACACACTGTTCTCACCTCTCCAAAGTACGAGACAAGCGGTGAAATCTCACATTGAGCCGGAGGACTGTCATCAGCTGACACGCTGCAGGATGGATAATGCACAACTTGAGATTTAAATAATAGGTTTCAATTTTTTTTTCTATCAGCCTGAAAACAACACTAACATACATTTTAAAAAGAGCTACATGCCACAAAGTATATATATTATAATTCCAATAGTAGTAACAACAAATCAGCTCCTCAGGGTGTGGAGTACATAGGAGCATCTCTGACCTGGGAAGAGGAAGGGGATTCCCATATTTATCCAACAGTGTGGCTCCAGCAGATGTGACCCAACGGCAGTGTTGAGCCAGCAGAGAGTTCCTGGCTGTGGTCGGGTTGTCTGTGGCTGAGCCATCTGCATTTTTCAGGGGGGAAAACTCATCCTCCCTGACAACCTCAAACGCAACGAAGTTCCTTCCAAATACAAGGGAGTAAATTTCTAATTAATTGCAAATCACCTATACAGTAAAAACAACATGTGTAAACACATACAAACTGAAAGATAATGTAGAGCAATTAATACCTTGAGAATTCGAAGACGTCAAAGACAAACTTCTCCATCTTTATGCCATTGGATTTGGATGGTTTGACTTGAACGCCGTGTGCGTCAACAAAGGGCACTTTCTTTAAGGCAACATGTTGCTTCAGCTGGTCTTTATATTTCCTAAAAGATGAAATATGTTAGCAGCACCAAACAAAATGGAATACCATAAAAATGGAGGGTTTTATACTCAAGGAGCAATGAAGTTCAATAGCTGTATAATTAAAATCTGGTTAATTTGGCAGTGAAAAACATGTTAAGACTTCTTCTGTGCCAAGTTGTCAGTTATCAGTAAACAAAGCACTGACTCATCCCTTCAGTTAAATAGCCTTTTATGCTCGAATGAATCATTGACCAGTGCTAACGCCGGTCTTAACAAACAAAGAGAAAAAAAAAAAAAGAAAAAAAAAAAGAGAGATCAGGTTCAAGGGCTGGACTGAAAGTTAGTGACAAAGCAGCCAACGTCCACTGAAAAACTTAGAAAGCGTGGAGAACTACTGCTCATGACCAATTTAAAATATTACAACAAAGGCGAGCTCCTTTGAAGCAAAATATAAAGAAACTCAAGTAGTGTTTTAAGACTTTTGCATAGAACTGCACCACACACCTAAGCGTTGCTGCAGATCCCTAGAAAGAAATGGTAAATGGCCTGTATTTGTATAGCGCTTTACTAGTCCCTAAGGACCCCAAAGCGCTTTACACATCCAGTCATGCACCCATTCACACACACATTCATACACTGGTGATGGCAAGCTACATTGTAGCCACAGCCACCCTGTGGCGCACTGACAGACACTGGCGCCACCGGGCCCTCTGAACTCCCCAACAATGATTATGAAGTGAGAATCACTGAACTATAGCAACTACTACCTTCTAGAGGTTTATGTGTGCTCACTAAAAACTAATTGAAGCTAAGATACCCCAACAGGCTGGGACAGTACACATTTATGCACTAATATATTGTTTTGGTCTATTTGTGGACTCTTTAACAAACATCTAGCATACACTGAAACAGCCAGATCTAACTTGCAGAATAAAAAGAGCTCAAATTTGTTCTTTCTTAATTTTTTTTGGTCATTTGTGTACTACTAAAAGCTACCATTCGATTGTTTATAATGTTGTGCTGCCCCTTACTCTGCCACATCCTGCAGGAAGCTCCTGGTAAAGAAGTGATTGCAGATGTTTCCAGCACTGTAAACCAACTCTCCTCCAGGTCCTTGCAGTTCAGCCGTCTGTGGCTGGACCTCACTGTACTCGACCACCTGGGATACCCCTCGTACTCTGCAAACCACGCCGACCGGCTCTGTAGGGTACGCCTTCTCCACCACCTAAAGCAAGACAGAGGTGGACGAACAAGGAAGAATTAGGAGAAACCATTAGCATACTCATGTACAGCCAATCACTTGGCTATATGCAGTCTGACTACACAGATACTCGTACTGGACACAGTTCTGTACGATTTATTGTAGCTGAAGGGTTGGACTGCTATTCAAGTAACTTCGTTTAACGTGATAGTCCAAAGAAAATATTCATAAGAAACAAAAACGAAATTCACTTTCCACAAAATATAATCCTTCTATTGATTATATTCAATTACAATGTAAAAGACATCTTAATGTATTCTTTCATGTATACTGTGTGATGCTGTATTACTCCACCTTGGCCCCACAGTCAGCGCCCTTGCTCACACAGAAGCCAATAAACACAGGATCGGCCATCTTGACCAGAATGTTGTCCACGCAGTACACATGCAGGTACTTTACTCCCCTTTTCTTCATGTCCTCCAGCACCTTATTGTCCACCAGTGCCTGGTACAGACCTCCATTACCATCTGAAACCAAAGTTTAGATAACTCCACTCATATTTGTTTCTGACTCTTCTGTGTAACTTCATATGCACCCACCTGGTGCCATGGCTATCTTCCCTTTATCCTTCAAGATGACTTTTCCATCAAATGTCACAGCTGGAATCATTCTTTGCTCAAACATAACGATGTTTGTTGGTTCCAGTCCAAAATAGTTGTTCTCCTTAAAAAAAGTCTCAGTTGGAGCCAGAGTGAATTCACTGGTCATTATGTACCTGAAGAGCACAGAGGGTAGAGATTATACACCGTTACACACAGTCTGCAGCAGTGGAGGACTATTGTGGAACTCCTGTTTCGGGGGTTAAAATGAATGCAGCATTAGCAAAATCTATTTTAAAAAATGTTTTGAAAAATTAAAACTATTATCCATGTAAAAGCTAAAGGAAGTGATGCCGAGTGGTATAGAGCCATTCTACTTAGTTGAGCACTGAAAATACTTTCTACTACAATCACGCACACTCTGATATGGTGCTTTTATTAATGCCTAAATGCTTTCTAACATTCACAAACATTCTCACACTCCGATGGATGCAGGGACAACCTGAGAATCAGTGTCTTGGCCAAGGACACTTTGGCAAGCAGACCTTTTGATTAGTAGATGACATTCTCAACCACATGAACCACAGCCACGTTTTCAAACCAATGTTAACTTA